CTCTCTGCTGCAGCAAAAAGACTTCATTTGGAAAACCTAGTTGGAGTTGGTAAACAGTTGGATGCTGACCCTCAGAGAGCCAATACCCAAACACCAAAACCAAACAAAACTCACAACCACTCTGGAGTAGTTATGTTGGGAAAGTTGAGCAGAATTGGACTTCATTTCCATACCTTCCTGAGAGGATGGCAGAGGCAGCTGTAGGGCGAGGTGTAGGGAGGGTAATGCCAGGCTCAGCCAGGAATTCCCAGGCCCTGCGTGGGTTCTGCTGGCCAAACTCCTAGGAAATAAAACCTCAAGTGCTTTTGTTTAGGAAAAAGGACTACTCCCAAATTTGACTTCAGAAGTACAGAGGGGAACCACTGGTGATCATGGCTAATATTTTCCCAGAATTTCAGTTGTGCTAGTAGCTTATTTCATCCTTCCCAACAGTTCTATGAAACTGTCCCCCTGCACCAAAAATAAACGGGAAGTCCTGAGAGTTAACGCCCTCCCAAGGCCCACAGATGCCAGAACAATTAATGCTTTCATTGCAGTTCCAAGAAGTGTGCATGGGGAACCCTCTTTTTCAAAAGTGTTTGTATTAATCAGCCTCCTTTGCAATGCTGCATACCAACGAGAGCCATGTGCTTTGGGTTAAGATTAAACTAGTGACCACAGGTCAAAGTCAAGGCAGTCAGGGCATCTTGCACCTTGCCAAGGAAATGTTAAAACTGTATTTTTCATACACGCCCCCCCCCCAGTTTTTCACTTTTTTCCTCGTTGGAATAGTTAAGGAGAGTATAAATATATTTGGGGTCTGTATATCCCAAAATCTAACTTCTTTTTTTGGTACCAGGGATTGAACTCAGGACCCTGTGCTTACAAGGCAGGCACAGTGCCACTGAGCTAAATCCCTGGCCCAAAATCTAACTTCTTTTAATTTCCTAACTTCTCTAGTAATGAAATCACTTGGGCACTCCAACAAAAAAAGATTTTCCCTCAATCAGGCCAAAATCCATAAGGGTGAGGGCTGCAGCAGTTCTGTTTCTGGAAAAGCCAGTAGAAAGAAGAAGGGCTTCGAAGAAGCCCTGAAGAGACATGCAGGGTCAAAGTCATCGAGGGATAGTGGAGGAGAAGGCACTGAAAAAAAAAAAGAGGAGGAGCAGATCAGGTACTGTGAAGCATCACTGGGAAATTAGACCCAACGGGACAGCGGTGGTTGGGGTAGGGGCAGAGGGTGGGAGTACTCTCAGGAAAACATCTGAGCTGAAATCCAAAGGAGCCAAATGAGGGGAAAGGGGTTCCTGCCATAGGAACCAAGACATTAGAATGAAGGGAGGCAGGTTGCTCAAGTAGCAGGAAAGGGGGAAATGACTACAAGTGAGTCAAAGAGGGAAGGGGGACTCGGTGAGTCTCTGCAAAATCTGGCAAGAAAGGGGAAGCTATTGGAGGATATTTAACAGGGGCAACACAATTAGATTCATTTTTCCAAACTCTCATCCTGGTGAGGATATGGAAAGTAGCTGAGACACACACGTGTTCAAGGTCCCAGCTCAGCTTTTCTACCTGCCAGCCTGTTCCCAGCTCAGCAGTGCGAGTAACCCACTGACCCTTCTCCCAGCAATGTCTGGAAATTATTGCCAAAAATAAAATGAGTGTTGGGGTGCACCTCGGTATTAGGGTGCTTGCCTAGCATTCATGAAGCCCTGGATTTGATTTTCAGGATCAAAACAAAACAAAAAACAAACAATAAACAAAAACCATGATTTAAAAATTATCGTTAACTTTAAAAAATAATGGTGACCATCTCAACATTTTAAGAAAATGGGCCAGAATAACTTTAAAAAATTTATTTGTTCATTAAAATATGCCCTGCTGGCTCGGCATGATGGCTCAAACCTGTAATCCCATCATATGGAAGGTTAAGGCAGGAGAACTACAAGTTTGAAGCCAGCCTGGGCTGCATACCATAACCTTGTCTCAAAAAAGGAAAAAAAAAATCCTTTCCTTATTTCCAAAAATTGTCCTGTTCCCCTAACCCACAGGGTGCTGGGAGTTGAACCTAGGACCTTCACATTAAGTTATGTCAACTCCCCCTTTTTAATTTTTTATCTTTAAGTCACCCAAAATATATTGTACTGTGTTTTGTTGAACTCAGGGTCTTTGCACTGAGCTACATCCCTAGCCCCTTATTTATTTTTTTGAGACACTCCTGCTGAGTCGCCCATGGTGGACTCAAACTTTCATTCCTCCTGCTTCAGCCTTCCAGAATGCTGGGATTACAGATGTGTGCCACCCAAAGGGTTTTTGAGGCCACTTGTACTAAAGCTTACCAGTAACAACTCAAACTTCTCCCTGTGAAAATGTTTACAAGACACGTTACAGTATCAATTTGGAAGAGAAACATTAACATTAACCATTTTGTAAAGCCCCATTTCCTCTAAGGGGTGCAGCTTCATCATGGGCTCAGTCCTCAAGATGCCTTGACTTTAATCCACTTTGCTATTTTTCCTTCTCCATCCTTTCTCTGGTCCCCTTTAGATCTACTACTCTTTGTCTCCATCAGAGACCCAGCAGAAAGGAAGAGTTGGAAAGCTTTGAAATGAACCTGCTTAAGCAGTTCCCCTCCTGTGTCTTTGTGAGTGTTTATGAGTAGGCTGGTGGTGGAGAGAATTTCTAAGTTACAATGATGCTTAAATTTTAACTTCTTATCCATTTCTCTACAGTGTAGATTCTACACATACATATACCTCATCTCTCCTATTTGGTCATTAAACCACACTCAGCCCCACAGTATGCAATATGAAAAACTCAAAACTAGACAGAGTCTAATTTCTATTTTTAATCTCTTTATACAGCACTCTTATCTCTCTCTGTTCTAACTCTGCCAGTGAGATTCCCATCCCGGGATATAGGTAAGTGATACAGCATTCGCCTGACATGCACGAGGCCCTGGGTTCTATGCCAGCACTGAGAAAAAATGAAATTTTATTCTGTAAGACTCTCACAAACTAAGATGGAACACAGACATCTATCTCACAGGCACATTTCAGGATAAGAAGCAAAAGTTAGAGGAAAAATTGGAGAAACTTTTTATTTTTCCTGCTGGGTGAATTTTAAAAGACTTATGATTACCTGACTAAAACTCTTTTATCAGTTACAAAAGTTCTTTATTACAGCTTTTAAAAAATTTAGTAAATAGAAACATGCAAATTTTAAATATCTTAAAAACTATAGTTCCTGTTACTTTTCCCGTGTTTACACACTCACTATCTCCAAGACTATGAACAGCCATCACTGGTAGCAAAACTGACCAGATTTGCACCGGATTATGTGAAATGGATCTGGCAGAAACGCTGAGGGATTTTTGAGGACTTGCTGATGATGGGGTGGAGAACAGAATGGCCTCAGTTCTTTCCTTAGTTTTGGCTCCATATTTGTTTCAAATTGCTATGTTGCCTCAAATTATAAATTGCTTATGTAATTTAATGTGTACAAGGAGAATGCATGTTTAAGAATTCTTCATTTGAACAACTAAGCTTTCAAAGGAAAATCCTGAAGGAAAAGAAATAAGTTGCTTGATTATAAACTGAACTTTTCAGGTATTCTTAAAAGACATCTTGGAGTATAAAAGGCAAACATTAATCAACTAGGTTCATGATCAAGAGACTGAAACCACATGCTGAATGGAAACAGGCCTTTCAGGGAAGGGGAAATACCTGGCCTGTGTTTATTTAGTCCTCCCCTCACCTGTTTATTTTTCTTTTGGGCAAAGCTTGTTGAGTTTCTTCCAGCTGCCCTAAGTGCATCAGGCCCCAATCTCAAACCTGTACGTCCCCCTCAGACGAGCTATCACTGGGAAAGGAACCTGTCCTCGCCTTCGCTTATCAACCCGGGTGTCCTACCTGTAGACGCCCCTGACAACACCGGGGGGACTTCGAGATAAAACCGAGGAGCTGCGCATGCACAGCGGAGTCTGTGCGGCCCTAACAGGACGGAAAAACGCTCCCTCCCCCCGCCACCGCCCCCCCCCCGGCCCCGCGCTCCTGGAGAAAAGCGCCAATACCGCGCACCGGGCGGTGGGAGCGGCTTCCACCTATGGCGCTCTTCCCCGGCCCCGGCCGGTCGCAACACCGGAGCGGCGACACCAGCTCCGGCGACACCAGCTCCTTCGCTCCTTCCCTCGGGAAGCCAGGTCCGCGGCGCCCCGAAATCCGTCCGGAGCGCGGCCCAACTACGCAACACTGACCAGGGGAAAGTTCAGGGCTCATTCCAGACCAGACTCGGGTCCTACTTTCCTCTCGGCCGCGCCCACCGGCTGGATCCTCTCCGCGGCGCCCCCCACCAGCCGGGTGCGCTGGGGACACCCGCTCGGTGGCTCGGTGGAGGCGCCGCGACTCGTGGGTGAGTGGGCTCGCTGGGGCTCAGGGATGTGTGCAAAGCTGCCCAGCACCCGGGGGGGCCCCCGTCGGCACGCCCCCTCACCTCCACTCCAGAGCGCGGGGAGCAAGAACCCCAGCAGCAGCCACAGTGGGGCCGGCCCCATCGCGTGCAGCGGGCTGGAAGTGCTCTGCGGACGGACGGGCAGAGGGTCTTCCCGAACTCGCGCCCTTGCCGGCCGAGCGCGCCGCAGCGGAGCAGCTAGGTGGCGGGGCCCGGGCAGCAGGCGCCGGAGTGCCTGAGACAAGGCGCGCGGGAGGCGCCGGGGCTGCAAGCGGCGGGGCGGGGCGGGGGCCGGGCCCGGGCCGGGCCGTTGGGGGTGGGCAGGGGGTGGGAAGGAGGAAGCAAGAGGAGGGGACAGAGGGGAGGGAGCTGGAGAGGAGCAGGGAGGGAGCTGGAGAGGGGCGGGGAAGGCGGGCTGAAGGCAGGGAGGGAAGAGAAGCAGAGGGAAGAGGCTGGCGGGAGGCAGCTCTTTAACCAGAGCAGGTGACCCGAGCCTGACGGGGACCGGGGGGTAGGGGGGACGACGAGGGGAGGGAAAGGGAGGGGGCTGGAGAGCCCTAAGGGCAGTCACCCACCGAGGCTGGTCCCACTTGGAGGCTGAGGAAGGGGGCGGGCGGGCCGGAGGTGGATGGGTGAGAGAGGCACTGGCCTGGGGCAGGCCTGGCATTCCACCCGCGGTAAGGGCTGGGGGCCGGAAGGCGGTGAATGGAGGTCACCAGAGGCAGCTCCAGACCTCCGAGCGGCCACGGCGTCCCACAGTTCGGGCTTTGCGGATTGGGGAAAACCTGGCAGCGACGCTCCCCCAGGCGGTGGCGTCGGCATACCGCATCCCGCTGAGCGCCTCCGGGGAACCCAGACCGAGAGGCTTGGAGGGGCTCCTTGCAGGGGTTGCTGGGAAGAACTCAGAACACGTTTCCTAGGAAGAACTCTTCTTCGCTACGCGCCAAAAAACAGGTCAAAAGAAGTGGAACTCTTGGAAGGAAAAGAATGTCAGTGACAAAAATGGAGAGCAGGAGTGCAAGTCCGCAGCCCGTATGGAGGACCGTGTCTGAGAATGCAGCAGCAGAGAAAGTGAATCACAACAGAAATTCACTTTTACTAATAACCGCGACAATATCTTACAGCTACATAACTTTCTCAAAGGAAGCGCCTTTACAATGAAGGCATTTCAGCTGGATCCTGTCATTTTTATGCTCAAAACTCTCCTAACTTCAGCGGCCTGTTTTCTCCCTTCCTGAGAGCTAAAATCCTACTGGTGGCTACAAGGTCCTAAGTGACCTGGTCCCCTTTCCTCTCTGACACGGTGGCCTCTTCAAGGAGTCCTTTGACCCCCCTATGCCGCCGGCTACTTCCTGTAGATTTGGCTTTAAGGAGAAAATCAGCCAACTATCACTTACATTAACAGCATAAGCAAAAAATCAGCGTGGTGTCAGCTCTTGGACTCCCAGTCCCACTGTGTGGCATGACCCGCAACCAGAGGGACCAGATGAACAGACTGCATGAACTGTGGGTCAGCTGCTGCTGAGGTGCAGACCTTACACAAGAACCAACCATTGTTATAGGTGCAGGAGCCTGCAGCTGTATCCCTGGCAAAGGAGCAATTGGAGCTGGGATGGAAATTCTTACATTCAAGGGAAGTTTGGAAGAAGACAAACTGCCTTGCAGCACTCTCACAAGCAGGGCTATCAAACTGCCTCCAAGGGCTCCTCACAAGGCCTCCTGTCCCTGCTTCAGGAAGAATCACAAGGTAGTACACCAAGCCTTGAGTCACACCGTGGTGACATCTGGTGTCCAGAGTCCGGGTGCAGATGAACAAGATCATCTGGGCATCTCAGCAACACTCTAAGGAGTTCCTTGCTGATGCTCACATACACCAGGCACTCTGGCACCTTAAGAATGCTTTTTTTTTTCTTCAAACTTTATGATTAATTTTATTTACAAAACAGTTTGATTCTCTTGTTTTACAAAAATTACAAAACATGATTCTTAAAAAGAGAAATAACTTCTCACACTCTTAGGAACTACTTTTAAGAACCAAGGGGTTGGAACTCAGGTGGTATCTGTCTTTTTGAGAGCCATAACAGCAGCACTCATGGCTGCTGTGTGTCTTCTCTCAAAATGCCACAGTGACTACCTTGCCATGTTCTCAAGTAGGCAAATACCTCCAGCATATCAGTGTTTGTAATATGACTGAAAAAACTCCCCTACTGGAAGTTTCCTTGCTGGAAAATCTTATTGACAGATTTCAAGAAAAGATTCTGTACCCCCAGCACTCTTGACGAAGCAGTGTGAGCATGTCCCCCAGTGCCATGTCATCTCTGCTGTCTGTGACAGCTCTAAGCTTAAAACAGACTAACACCAAATGCAGGCAGTATGGAGAATAGTTTTACTGGCACAGGGCAGAAGCTTCAGATCGGAACCTTTTCTAAACTTGAGCTTTGCTTTTGAAGGTTCTTCCTGAGATTTGCCTCCATCCTGAATGGGTAGTACCATGTAGCACATCAGGTCAAGGACTTTCTCACATGTCATCCTGTACTCCCCCAGAGCAAAGTGGCACATCACCAGCAGAATGATGCCCTTAGATGCTCCAGGGTCCCCTGTCCTGGCATTTGTGGCTGAGAAAGTGATCCTTGGAGAGCTACCAAATGATGCAGGCTGGCTATTGCCTTTTTATATGGGCCCTGATAGATGATCATATCAATGGGAAAGATTCTTAACCACAGCCAAGTATCTGTCGTCCATGCCAGACAAATTCTTGTGAATTCTTTGTCAAGGAATTCTAGGGAATAGAGCAAGTCCCAGTTTCTCCTGGCCAATTTAAAGCTTTCTAATACTTAATAGAATTAGTGAGTTTTGCTTTATTGACTACAGTGTAGCAGATTTTTCCTTTTGCTGAACCATCTTCATCATCTGAACTCATGTGGTTTGTTTTTTTTTCCTCTTCTATCAACTACTGTAGTTTCCTTTTTTTCTGTATGTGTTTATTATGGTCAGTTTCCACATTACCATAAATACTTGATACATCCTCAAGAAGAACCAGTGGACCTTGGCTTGGAGCATTAGAATCTTAGAAGGAAGATGGCTATATGCTGTTGACGTACTGGAATGCATTCATAAAGAAGACCAACATAGTGTAATGAATCACTTGGTTTTTATATGTAGCATGCGCTTCACTATCAAAGTTGTTCATGTATCTGAAGATATCCTTCATTCTATACAATATATCACTAGAGCTTCCTCTTCCTTTGTGCATCTCCCATTCATATCTCATTCCAATAAAATTCAAAATCTTACTCAATTTCTCCCAAGGGTCCACAATCTGGGATGATTTTTTCAGTCAGTCCTTCTAAAACATACTTCTGGGAGCTAGGTTTGCTGGGTGACATTAAATCAGATGTATCTTGGGAACCTTAATACTGATTTTCTATTTGAATAAACCCAGTGACATAGTTGATACAAAATTTAGCTGCTTTGTTCAAGTACTCATTATAATAAACTGGCAGGCAATCAAATATCATGATTATTGATTATTAGAGGAAGTACAGCCCAAATAATTTTCTAAAGCAGTTAACAGAGATTCTTGCTCTTCAAGATTTACAGCTTCTAATAGCACCTCCCTGAGACCAAACCCATGTTGCACCACTGTTGGAGGGAAGCGCCTCAAAAGTCCCAGCAACATTTCTGATCAGTCCAATGTATTGAAGCATTGTTCTGTAACCTTTAGTAACAGTTCATACTGGATTTACCCAGGAGGAATTTCAGATAAACTTGTTAAAAATTATGTTTGTTTATCCTGTAAATCATTCCTGAACGCTGATGGAATAATGCTGATTTCTCTCCGTACCACTGGCTGGTCTGGGGGGAGTTCACAAACACGTCATAGAGCAGCAGCCTCCCTGAGCTGGTGATCTGGTTTGCATTCTGCTTGCTGGTGTACATCTCATATAGATGTTAACAACAGCCTGATAGAGGGTGCAGGCATTGATCAGCCACAGCTTGGCTTTCCACAGGTCCTGGAGCACGAGCTACTGGGTTAGGGTTACAGTTAGGAACTTGCTGTCACCCTGAGCTGACCTGGACCCCATGAGCAATCATGGTTGGACTTTCACTCGGTCGTCACCACCATTGCCTGTGTGGGGGAGGAATGTTTTTTGTTTTTCATAGTTGAGGTCTCACTACATTGCCCAGGCTGGCCTTAAATTCCTGGGTTCAAGAGACTGTCTTGGCTCAATCTCCTAAATAGCTGGTACTACCAGAGTGTCCTTCTGTATGTGGCTACAATCTGAGTTTTTAATTGAGGCCTGCCTTGTACAGTACTGTTCTAGTACTGTATTGCTGTGTTAATATGGGAAGTAATATCAGGAACTCTAAATATGATATAAGGGAAATATTATGTCTACCAACCTGTTAAATGTCTGATACACCAAGTTTGTGTTCTCTAAAATCGGACAATGAATGAATTCTAGGAACAACGGAGGTTGAGTAGGAAATATTTATTGAGGGGGAAGGGTACAGCTCCTGAGAGACAGGAGGGGTCCTGAAAGTGGGTTGCCGAGGACCCCACTTCTCAGGGTAAGTTTTATAGAGCACAAAACCACGTGGTTACAACACGGGTTGCAGCTAGATCAACCAATAATATTACAAGTATAGTCACTTAGGTAACTGATCCAATGGGGAAGCAAGTGTACATGGAAGGAACAGAGAACTTGACAGGAAAAGATGAGTCCAGGGTCTTGGTCACCCACCAAGGTGACTGATGTCTATCTAGACTTCATTAGACCAGGTGTTACCACTTATCTTAGGTCTGGTCATTCTGTTTTTATCTTGAGGCCTGGCCTCCAACAGATGTGCCTCCAGGCACAGTTGTAATGTGTTTTTACCTTTGTCCTGACTCTCTTGAGGTCCTAACCCTGTCTGACTGCCTATAATATTCCTACCTAACTTAGCTGTCTGTAATTGTGTGACATGCCACCCCAAACATAGTGGAAGTAAAACATAGGCTATTAGATTCATGGATTTTTGTGAGTCATAGATTTGGACAGAGCACAGGAAGCTAGATGGTCTTTGCTCTCTGTCGCCCCTGGGACCTTGGGCTCAAATGTCTGAAATCTAGACTCATCTAAAGCTGAGGTCAGCAAAGCAGAGCTTGACAGTCTATGGCCTGTTTCTGCACATGAATGTCACTGGGACCACAGCCATTCACGTGGGTTTCATCTATGGGTGCCTTTGTGCTATCACAGCAGAGTTAGTTGTGACAGAGATTACGTGGCTCCCAAAGCTGGCCAACCCCTGCTGTAAAAGTTCGTTCACACCCCTAGCTGCTGCCTACCCTGAGAGCTGGAGACAAAGGCTGTAGGTTGCCCCACTTTGGCAGCCTCTCTGTAGTTGGAAGTCTTGCAGGGAAGCTCAGGGCTCCAAGAGTAAGCATCCTAGTGAAGAAAGTGGAAGTGGCATGAACTTTTATGACCTAACCTCGGGGTCATATGTCTCCACTTGATCATATTTTCTTGGTGGAAGCAGTCACAATCCTATCCTCAGGAGAAGGAACCACAGACTCCAACCGCCTGATGACTCAAGGGTCAAAGAATTTGCAGCTATGTTTAAAAAATTTTTACAAATAATAAACTGAACTAAGATATGGGTATCACATCTATAGGTTTAACTTTATACTTACCATGTATCCAAATGACACTGCAAGTTAATGTCCCTAGTTATTCAAGTGATTGAAATATGTGAAGGGAAATGTGAAGAGGAAACTTAAGAGTCAGACCCCATATTATACAACTATTTCTGTATCTATAGGCTCTCTGTCCAAAAAGCTACATTTGTCCACTTTCTTTCTTTTTTTTTTTTGATACTGGGAATCGAACTCAGGACCTTGGTGCTTGCCAGGTAGGTGTGGCGGTGCCACTGAGCTAAATCCCCAGCTCTTTTGTCCACTTTCAATAGGGCAACACTCACCTGGAACCCATACTCTGATGCTCACAGTCTTTCTTGGATCAGCTTAAAGCTGTATGATATAAGCAGGAGCTCTGACTCTTTATTATTATCTAAGAAAAACAGGGAAGTTTGAGGGCTTGCAGCAGTGTTCATCTGGGGGCTAAGGAAGATCTCCTGCACTGATTGAAGAGTAGAAGGACTATAACGAAAATAAAGTGGCATTGTGATGGCAATCTGTGCCTCGAGCGTGTTCCACGCACCAGTGACAGGTCTCAAGATTTCCAATTGAAGGCCCCGGTGGGAGCATGGCAGATCACATGTAAAATAATACATATTTGGTCTTTAATAGTGCCATTCTAGGACTGGGGATTTA